TTGTTTAAACGATACATTCTCCTTCTTTCTCAGAATCACGAAATTTTAAGAAAGTAATTTGAAGAAAAAATGGAAAAAATTTATTGCAAATTAGGCAAAATAAACTTTGTCAAAAGATCGATCAAATCTTATTTTGCAACGTCGTTTCATAATTTCGATATTGCTAATAATCATAATAAATTATCTTTTTTTTAATGTAAAATTCAATAGAATCGATCGATGAAAAGTCAATAGCAAGAAAAAATAGAATGAATCAATCGTGTAATTAAATGCTTATTATTGACGTATATGCCTATCATCGGGGAATACAACATGCACATGTTGTAAGACTCGATGGAAGCGGCAGCGTGACAATTACAAAGTTCGTTTACACTGAAGTATTATGTTAGCATGACATAACCCACGTGGTTTGACATAATAAAGTAAGTGGTACGCGCGATAAGTTTCGATATAAACAGAAGAAAAAAAGATCTGAACATTGTTGCTCTTAACGAAGTTTTCCTCTTGGAGAATTGGAATCATTTTTCGTTGTTCTTTCGTATTAATTAATTAATTAATTAAAGCAATTAATTAAAAACTTGTTAAGATATATCTAAATTCCTTTTTTTTATATATTTAGAATGATAATTCATCACATCTTTTTATTCTACTTCATTTGTGAGATGAGAAAATAGTTTGAAGCGACACGTTAATGTATATGTTATCTAATTATGTGTAGAGACTATAATAAATTTTGTCATCTTCGTATTATTTAACGGCACAGTCTCGGTTAGTTGAACACTATAATAAAGTAAAATTTCGTGCCTCCTAGTCTGAACCCAGTGACAACCGGTCTTACGGTACTTTTCACTCTCGACCACGAGAGACAATGAAACGTGTTATCTTACTCTTACGTCTCTAATACTTTCTCGTATATTTATCCTAGATTGTAATCTTTCTATTCCAAAAATTTGCGAGTTTAATTGTGAAAAAAATAATAACAATATCAACAATATCTTTATGACACAAAAGGAAATTTAAAAAGATACTCAAATTTTATGAATCGTCCAATATTATCAACATGATTTTTCTAATAAAATATGAATATATACCCTCATCATTATAATATAATTCCATAATCCCAATGTTCAAAGAAGCGCAACAATATTCGAAAGAACCAAATCAATACTCGATGAACTCAATACCCGTTCCAAGAAGCAAATTAGCCGCGTTTTCCAGGTTCAACGATCGTCGAAGTAGCCCCTTACATCGTATAATCTATACCAAACAATCTTTTTTCTCTTCTTCATTCGATCCAAAGAACGGCAATAAACGAGTGAACGAGAGCTGGAGGAATCAAAGACCATTCGGAGAACGCGATCGATCCTCTGTCGGAAGCCGAGTAGGCAAATTAGCCACCGTTCTCCATGCTCTACCAGTCGCGGTGTCCTTCCTCCGAGCGGAATTATTAACCGGACCGGTCCAGGACACGCCGCCTGAAGCTTCCACGTTTTCCACGTCGACATCTGCTCGAGCGCAATTGAATCGCCATACCCGATCCTCGTGCGTGACAGTATCGACATTGGAATCTTCTCGTCGCGATCTATCAATCCCATTCCTTGTTTGCCGGGGTCGTTTACCGAATAACTGCAACGCGTTCCATCGATTAATGATCCACTCGATCATACGGTCACAATAGCCGTACCGCTATGTTCTGCATGCGGCGACACGCGAAAAACAGCTTACACTAGTTGCCGACAAATGGCCAAGAAGGCGAGGTAGAAAAATCGTGGATAGGATTTTGACGGGACGATTCATCGACGTCGTTACGCGAAATCGTTTGAGCGGAGAAGGAATTGCGGGGCGAAGGTTGTTCCCAAGAATGTTTAGGGGATCGTTTACCTCTGATGGAAATTATCTGACGCGGCGTGTAATGTCGAAACGAGACGTAATTCCTCGTGATTTGTGTATGGGTAATTCCATAAGTGATCGGGGCACGATCGGATAAGATTTGGTTTCGTTGATGATGATATGGATCGTGTATAGATACGTAGATTAGATTTTGTTTCGTAGTCGAGTATTATAATAATCACGTTAAGACGAGGAGAATTTTTTGGATGCAAGAAATTGGAAAAAATGAGGAGGTTAAAGATATTCTATCCATATATTCTATCGGAAATAACGAGAGGTAAATAACGAATAAGAGTTTGAACTAAAATTGTAAAACTATCGAAAGGATCAATAACAGAAGTTCGTTCGCGCAAAAATAATCAAAACGATTCATCGTAAATAAAGATAATCGTTATATTAACTCTTTTAAAGAAAGAAAGAAAAAAATCATCCAATTTTCGATATCTGATAAATCTAATAAAAACATGATTAAAATAGTTTCCTTTTCTAAGCTGGATCAAATCAAGCGTAATACGTCTCTTCTTCTTTGATTCTTGAACCAATCAGCTCTCGTCCTCTTCGCTTCTCATCATTTCCAACTGGTTTGACAAAAACGGAAAGCAAACGAACTGAATAGAGGATCTAATAAATCAGTAGCTCGACAACAGAGAAATCACGATCTTGACGCCAATTTTGCCCCAACCATGTGCACGCCCAATGGGGTCGAAAGGTCGTTTCTGTAATGCAACGGTTGCACGGTCACGTTCGGCTATCGTTTCCCCGTTATATGCATATCAATTTACGTCCACCTGCGGTCCAGGATCAATTGCGCTCGATTTATTACGAATCCTGGATACGTTCGAGCGAGGAGCGGCGTTTTCACGCGTGGGCCGAACAGATACATTTGTCCAGCCGGCAAAACGCTGGCACTCGATATTGCGGAGTAAATGTACGGTTGGACTGTTTCTCAGGAGGAACGTTGTTTGCCGGATTCGAGAGCTTAAATCGAGCAACGAGAGGCGATAAGTCGCGAGAAATAGGCAATCCATTTTGTCCACTAGATCGGGTCGGTTGTGTTAAAGTCTCGGTAGTGGATCGCGAAATTTGTTGAAGAGTGGCGAAGAATAGGATTAACATGTTCAATACGAGTGACCCGAATGTACGTGTCGTGAAATTTTTATTTTATTTCATTTTATAGCCTTCGATATGTAATGATCACGCCCATAAACTCTTTCAAAAGGTGAGAAAAAGTGTATCAGGTTTTCTTTAGTCTTCGATATCTATAAGTAGTACGCGTATTCTGCCATGATTAAAATTTCATTTACATATAATAGAATTAAATCTTTTTCTTATCTGTATAATACTTTCGCTGATACGATGTCATAGACTTGGCAGAAATTAATTTTGAAAGCAAATATCTTGATATTATAATTTCGAAGAAGGTTTACATATGTTTAAAATTGATGAGATTTACATTTATGATTTGTACAAAATCATAAAATGGATAGGAATCATTTTCTGGTTGGAATGTATTGATTGCAGAACAATCTACATTACTGCTACCATTTTCCAGAAAATATCTTAATAATTCCTCGGAAGAGAGTGTTTTGGTCATACCTTAAGATCTCTGGCAAGAGAGTCAGTGGAGTTTGTATTTGTACGGATGCAACCGATGGAAATAGCGTACCGATGATCGGTCAAGATTTGCACATTTTGCTGGCTGAATTGCAAGGCGAAACCGACCTATAAATACACGTTTCAACTACCACTTAAGATTCCTAGAACGTTCTTTCTCCCTCTTTCTCTCTCTGTCTCTCCCGCTTGTTTCCAGTTGTTTGGTACGATAAATCGAGAGAGAGGAACAGGAAACACGAGGAAACTGTTCTCCAGAAACAATAGCAACGCGGCTTGACGTAAAAGCTCCCCACGAGAGAATTAAGCGAGGAAACTCGCCGAGATTAATAGATGATCCGCATAATTGGACGCAGCTATGCAAAATTTTACCGTGCAAACTAATATTTCCTTCGAAAATCCGTTGAAATTGAACATGCATCGTTTCATCTCAGTTTTCTCAATGTGATGAGCAATTATTATATGCGAATAATTTAGACAAATAATTTAGGAAGGAAAATTTTTTGTTAAATATTTTTCTTAATAATTTCTTCGACATAACAACTTTTATAATCGTAAATGATGGAATCGGCCTATACATTTCGCTTCTTTTTTAAGCGAAATTACTAATTTTTTCGTAAAACAAAGAATAGAAGATTATTTATTGATATAATCTAATATAGGGATTGATCAGCGTGCGAAAATTCATTCTTCCATGACGATTTTCTTACACCGAATTTTCTTTTCTATCAGAATACTTATCTCGGGTTAACGACAGATTAATCGTCTGGAACGCGTTTAGAAATCACGATTTAATCCAAAAACATAACATAAATGTAAATAAAAGATCATCACGACCGGAAAACTTGTACGCATTTTACGCTTCATAAAACTTATTCGATATTTCATCGTGTCAAACCGCATGAATCAAAAATTATATTCTAATAATTTATAGCATTTCCATTAAACGAGATATTCCGATACAGCGTCAACTCAAAGCACTTTCGAAAACGTTTTAAAAAAACAAATCTATTTTTACTTTCGTCGTCAACGAATCAACGAGATCTAGACTTGTTTCCCCTAAATTATCCTCCCCCTTTGAGATACAATCGAGACATAATTCGTCACAATGAATAGATAGAGTGTCCAAGGAACACGATGTCCCTATCTCTCAAAAGGAAAACACTCGTGTAACATTGGACTCAGAATTGGAGCTCGTGCCAAACGAGCTCTCCGTTTATCGTTATTTATCGCGCGTACTGTTGCTCGTAAACACGGCGACTACATTCCATCGATGGACCACTCCACCTCGCGGGATCCTCTTTCCGCGTCTAACACGTTCTAGGTTGAAAAATCCTTGGCTTTATGTCGAATTCAAGCGAGCGTACGCGCGTCCACCGCTCGTAAAACCGAGAAGATTACACGCGTGATTTTTAGCCGGGGCGAAAAATGACAAGGAGATCGATTAATATCGAGTTTTATGGGGTTTCTTACCAGTTGTAAATCTGTTTGATTTATAGATCGATCAGTGGGATCGAAATGAAGGAGCGATCGGAATTTTTACGGTTGCCAATTAGCCAGTCGGTCGGCCGGAAGAGACGACCCGATTGTAATTTCTGATCCGCCGCCCGATCTCGAGGAGAGCCGGCGAGCTTCCGGGATTACGATCCCCGCTTGGGTTGACAGGGACGTCATAGAGAGATACGCCGCTCGAGATAGGAGGAGGATACGAGCTGTAGAACTAGCTGTAAATTAACCACACACCACGGACCCGGGTGCATTCGTCGTCGCTTCGTGTTCGCTTCGTCCTCCTCGGTGAGTATGCGTGTACGTGAGTGTGTGTATGTGTGTGTGTTGCGCTCGTGTATCGAGCACGATGGCAAGAGAGTGCGTCACGATTTCAGATATACTCTGGTACGCATGCACACGCGTGCATCTATGTATCTACCGCTCGTGTAACTTTTTCCCTCGGCAAGATTTGTATCGTTTCATCGATACCTATGCG